CTGGAGGACGGAGGGTGTGGATTCTGGAGTTAAGCAGATTTATTAAAACATAAAGAGCACTATCACGAATGAAAATTTTGACAAAGTGGACTTTATAAAATTTCTAACTTCTGGTCTTTAAAATACCCCATTTTATTTTTAAAAAAATGAAGAGGCAAGCCACAGACCAGGAAAAAAAATATTTACAAAACATCTAATAGAGGATTTATTTCGGCATACATAACTTTTACAACAAAATACTAAGACAATCCAAAATTTTAAATGGACAGAAAAGTTAGAATCTTCACACCAATGAACACAGATGAATGGCGATTAAGTACAGGGAAACCAGCTCATAATCAATGAGTCATCAGGAAAGCACTAATCAAAAGTAAAGTAAGGTACCATTATCTCCATAAGAACAGCTAATAGTGGGGGCTAGAGAAATAGCTCAGCAGTTAAGAGTGCACATTGCTCATGCAGAGGACCCAAGTTCAGTTCCAAGCACCCATGTCAGGCAGTTCACATGCTCCAAGGGGATCCATTGTCTCTGACCTCCAAGGGCACCCACACATGTGCACATACCCACACACACATACATATAAAAAAAAGAACGACAGTAGTAAAGACTGAGGCCTGAGGATGTAACTCAGTGTTGAATGCTTAGCATACATAATACCCTGGGTTCAATCCCCAGCACAAATAAAATAAAACAACAAAAAAAGGATAAAGGAAAAGAATGAGACCAGCCTATAAGCACTTGGGAGCCTGAGGCAGCATAACTGTGAGAGCTAAATGTCACCCAAGGCTATATAGCAAGTCCTGCATGGGGGGAAAAAAAGTATTAAAATATCATATATTGAAGAGGTTCTAGAAAACTAGAACTCTCTACCGCAAATGAAAATGAAAATATGATACAGTCACCTTTCTAAAAAGTCTTTTATTACTTTTATTATTTATTTATTTGTTTTAATTTTTGGTCTTTTTGAGACAGGGTCTTCCCAGCTGGCCTGGAAGTCACTATGTAGACCAGGCTGGCCTCAAACTCACAGAGATCTGCCTGCCTCTGCCTCCCAAGTGCTGGGATTAAAGGTTTGTGCCACCACGCCTGGATACTTTTAAATTTTTATGTGTGAGTGTATTCCCTGCCTGTATGTAAGTGCACCCGTGTCATGCAATGCCCATGGAGGTCAAAAGAGGGTGTCAGATCCCCTGGAATTGGAGTTACAGATGGTTGTTAGCCGCCATGTGGGTGCTGGGAATCAAACCACAGTCCTCTGGAAGAGCAGCCAGTGCGCTTAACCACTGAGCCATCTCTCCGGTCCCTGTTTATTTGATGGAGGCAGGGTCTCCCTGTAGCCCAGCTAGCCTGGAACTCACTATGTAGAACAGGCTGGCCTCTACCTCACAGAGATTGGCTTGCCTCTACCTCCCAAGTGCTGGATTAATGGTATGGGCCACCATGTCCAGCTGATACAGCCACTTTTGAAAAGCAGTTTGGTCTTTTCTTTTGAAACAGGGCCTCCTGTAGCCCAGGCTAGCCTCAAACTTACTATGTAGAGGAAAATGACCTTGAACTTCTGATCTTCCTGCCTCTACCTACCTGAATTACAGGCTTTTCCCCACTATACTTGTTTATGTGGTGCTAGGAATTTAACCCAGTGGTTCATGATGTAGCACTTTATCAAGTGAGCTACATCTCTAGTCCATCAGCAGGGATTCTGTGTAAAAGAAAAAGGGAGGGAGGGAGGGAGGGAGGGAGGGAGAGACGGAATATGTCTGTGTGTGGTGTATGTGCAAATGTGTTTGTGGGAGTGGGTGTCTGTGTATATGAGTGAGCATAGGCTAGCGGGCATTAAATGTCCTCTATCTCTCTTTGCCTTATTCCTTGGAGGCAATGTCTCTTCCTGAACCTGGAGCTCTTGTTTTTTCAGCAAAGCTGGCAGCCAGTGAGCCCCCAATGATTCTGTCTCTATGGCCCTGAAGTTAAAAGTGAACAGGAGACCACCATGTCTAGCTTGTTACATGGATGCTGGGATCTGAACTCAGGTCCTCATGGTTATACAATAAGTACTCTTAGCCACTAAATCAAACCTTCAGCCCCAGCAGTTTCTTATAATGTTAATTTTATACCTACCATAAGAATCTATAAGTCTACTTTGAGGTATTTATGTAAGAAAAATGAAAATGCATGTGTGGGCTGAGGAGATGATTCGATAGGTAAGAAAAGTTGCTGTGAAAGCAAGAGGATCTGTGTTCAAATCCCAAACACCCCTGTAAAACCCCAGCATAGCTGCATGATCCTATAACCCCAGAACTAGAGGGCAGAGAAGGAGAACTGCTGGAGCTCTCTGGTCAGCCAGCTTAGCCTGAAATGGCAAGCTTCAGATTGAATGAGAGACCCTGTCTCAAAAAAAAAAAGCTGGGCGTGCTAAGTCACGCCTTTACTCTTAGCACTTGGGAGGCAGAGGCACACAGATCTCTGAGTTTGAGGCCAGCCTGGTCTACATAGCGAGTTCCAGGTCAGCTGGGGCTATAGAGAGACCCTGTCTGAAAAAGATGCCCCCCCCCCAAAAAAAGTACAGGGGCAGTGAAATGGCTCAGTGGGTAAGCCTGCTTGCTAGTAAGCCTGATGACCTGAATTCCATACCTGGAACCCATATGGAAGAAGAGAACCAACTTCCACAAATTGTTGTTTGACCTCAATATGCATGCACTGGCACAAACACCCACAGATATACTAAATAAATATAAGAAGGTTGTTAATGATGATAATAACAATAATAAAGTTGGAGAGCGATCGAGGAAAGATATTTGACAATGACCTCAGCCTCCACATGCTCATAAAGTGCATATGCACCCACACCTACATCACACACACACACACACACACACACACACACACACACACACACCACAGAGAGCACTGTAGTAGTTCATCTTCATTGCTAACCTGATTGGATATAAAATCGCCTAGGTTTCCTGAATGTGGACAGCACCATCCCATAGGCTGGGCCCTGATCTAAATGAAATGGACTAAAAAAAAAAAGAGAAAGTGAGCTGAGCACTAGCGATCATCCCTGTTTCCTGCCTGTGTGCAATGTGACCAGTTGCCTAATGCTTCTAACCACTACAGCTAGAGCTGCTCCCGCTGCCATACTTTACCCAATATAACTGTGTTCTCAATGAGCCAAAAATAAACTTTTCCTTCCTTAACTTGCTCTGTCAGGTACTCTGTTGCAGCAACAAGAAAAGTACCAATTAAGTGCATATTGCATATTTCCATTTGTTTGACTTTTTTTTTTTTTTGGTCTTTTTGAGACAGGGTCTCCCTGTAGCCCCAGCTGTCCTGGAACTCACTATGTAGACCAGGCTGGCCTTGAACTCACAAAGATCCACCTGCCTCTGCCTCCTGAGTGTTGGGATTAAAGGCGCGCACCACCATGCCCAGCTATGTTTGACATTTTAAAAAAAGCAAAATATAGTAACAGAAAGCACAGCAGTGGTTAACAAGGATAATAAATGCAAGTGGAAAGTAGGGAATTTGGGGGTGATGAAAATATTCTGACTTTATTGTGATGGTAGGTAAAAAACTATGAATATGGGGCTGGAGAGATGGCTCAGCGGTTAAGAGCACTGACTGCTCTTGCAGAGGACCTGGGTTCAATTCCCAGCACCCACATGACAGCTACAAACTGTCCTTAACTCCAGTTCCAGGGGAATCCAAAGCCCTCTTCTGACCTCCACAGCATTGCACGACACGGGTGCAGTCACATACACGCAGGCAATACACTCATACACATAAAATAAAACAATTTAAAAAATTTTAAAAACTAAGAATATTTATTAAAACTGGACATGTGGCTTCACAAGAATGTCAGCATAGGCAAATTTTGCTCAATAAAGTTGACTTTTTACAAAAGAACAATGAATAGTTTCATTCCTTTTCTCAAGTCAACAGTTTTTCAAAGTCTTAGGTAATTTCCAAAGGTTCCACAACCAACCTCCCTTCTAAACACTGTGTATAATACTAAGAGGACAGAGACCATGCTGACATAAAACCTATGTGCAATTATCTCTAGCTAACTTCCTTGTTTTGTTCATCTCCCAATTGGGGGTGGGGGGGGGGGACACAAGGGACAAATCCTACTTTCAGAGGTTACAACTTTAACCACCAGATCAGCTTTTTACTTTACTAAGGATTGAATCCAGAACTGTGCATATACTAGGTAAGTACTCTCCCACTGAGCTAAGTCCCCAGCCCTACAGATGAGCTCCAAACACCCACAGACTATTTGCCAATATCAAACAGAATCCATGTATTGCTACAAATAACGAACACTTCCTATCATATCCACATTTCCAAAACAATCGAAGGCAAATAAAGCATAGCACAACCAGGAGAAAGAGAAACAGACTGAGGTAGCAGTAGCAACTGTTTTGAAGAACAAACAGGAGCAGGAAATGAACTGGCACATATTATCCAAAATTTAAGATGAGTAACAAAATGTGTAAAACAGCTCATGGGAATTGAAGTCACAGTATAATTAGGACCTTTGGGGAAAAAAAGTGTTAACCATGAACAGAGACATCTCCAAAAAAGGAAAAAGAGTAAGATGTGGAGAGTGTGGGGAAGCCCAGGTTCAAGTATTCTGGAAGACATCACCTTTTAAGTTAATTATGCTCTACAGCTTCAGAGCCAACAGTAAACAAGACTACAATCAGCAAAGAGATATTGTCACTGATAAAAGAACAAGCAAAAGAAACTCATATATGTTTAGGACAGACCAGAATACAAACCTGAAACTCAGGAAATAAATGAACGTGTACTTAAGTAGAAGTAGGACTCTTCATTACTGTAGTTGAGTCAGTGTCTCTTCTCTCTGAATGAACCCAGCTTCCTGGTAGACAAACTGACCTAGGTTGCAGTCTTTTATTCTACTGCTTAAAATATATTCATAATAAAGCTGGGAAATAAAAGCTAGCTGGATGTTTGAGGATCAAGTTGGGCTGACACTCACCACAAACTTCTCACCATTCTGCTCCACATGTTTGTATGTGGGGACCGATATGGGCACTGCTTGCTTTTCTGTGTAATCATAAAATGATTGTCCCAAGGAGTCGTCACTGGGATCTAGGTTATCCGCCTCATGAGGAGGTACAGACAACACTGTCAAGATCAATTCCTTCTCGCCTGCTCGGATCAGGTCCACCACCTGCTTGTGTGTCGCCCCCTCAACATTCACGCCGTTCCTAAGGGGGAAAAAAAAAACAATCCCATAAACCAGAAGGGTCCAAACTTCATATCTCCACCCTCCTGTCCCCACTCCAGTCTCACAGTGTAAACCACAAAATCAAAAGATTCATCTGGCTCCAAAAAAGCTGTTTGTCTTTACAGAATCTAAAGTGAAAAGCTGCTTGTGAACCTATGGCAGGGGGAGAAAATGGAAACAGGCGAGAGGCCCCACGCCTCCTCTGTTCTAGAATCCCATGCACTGCTCAGGACAGCAGTTGGAAATATGAAGCTGGGAGGAAACAAAGCCTTTTCAGCTAAACAGTCCAGTTTCCTCACTCTAACTAGCCATACATGCAATATAATCAAAGTGACTTTGACAATTCTCCCATTTTTACTGTAGTCTGTTCATTTATACCTCATAGGAATTTTCTTCTAAGATTTATTTTTATTATTTTTAATTTTATGTATATGTGTGTGCCTGAGTGTGGGTACGTGCTTGTCAATGCAGGTACCTGGAAGCCAGAGGCATCAGGCCTGGAGCTGTAGTTACAGGCAGACATGGGTGCTGAGAACCAAACTGAACTCAGGTTCTCTACAAGAGCAATATGTGCTCTTAACTGCTGAGCCATCTCTCCAGCCCCAGGAACTTCCTTAAAAGAAACTTCACAAAATACATTCCCTTGATGTGTAGAAACTCAAAAAAAGTATGATTCAAGTTATCTCCTTTACAGTATATCCAGTTTCTTCCCTTATCTTCAAATTAGTTAACCTTCCATTATACCAAGTTTTATTAGCTTGATAAAGTGTTATTAATCTGCATATAGACTGGTTCCCTCTATCCCTTAGCTTCTAAAAGGGCAAGAGTACCTAGATAAAAGTCCATTATCTAACCCAACCTCCTTGTTCTCCTAATCACTCTGATTAATCTCTCAAGATTCTATCTATACCTTCTGTTCTGTGTAATCTGTTCAGACTAAGCAATACGCACCTACAGTTACGCAATAAATCAATCTATCATTCGCCTTCCTGTTCCCTGTGCATCAAAGGCTGAAATAAGAAAAAGCACAAGATTTGGAAAAACAGCAATTTTATCACGAAAGACGCTGAGTCTTAAAAACTCACTCAGCAAACTCAACTACCTTCCTAGAATGCTGACCTAGCAAGCCGTTTCAGCAAAACCCACTGGGTTCCCTACCAGGGCTCTCCAGAGACAGGAAATACACATCTGGCTTCTACTCAATTTGATATTTAAAGCTTATCTACCCTTTAAATTCTTTTTTCAATTCTGTTCCAACCCATTAGGGTTTTTTTTCATTCCTGAAAATGAGGCTAAGTTTAGTAACAAGCCTTCTATATACACTTTGGTCACTGGAATTGTCTCTGTCAGGGATTTGGTATCTGAACCATCCATTCATTTAAAAACAGAGCACATGGAGGATACTTAGCCTCTCCCTTATTTTGAGTTTGACAAGCTACCCAGTAAATTCAATACTCTTAAAGCTGGATATAGTGGTGCACATGTGTAAGCTTAACACTCAGGAGGCTAAGGTAGGTAACTGCCTCAAATTCGAGGCCAGCCGGGGTTATATGACAAAAACTTGTCTCAAAAAATATTAGTGATCCTCATTTCTCAATCTATAATCTATAAGTCTAATCATAAGCTAACTTAAAAAAGTAGAAAATTTAGCCAAAAGAGTCAGTTTTATAAAAGAAAATTAGCCCCTTTACTGATACAAATTCCAACTTTGATGGTCTGAAGAGAAACCAGGGTATGGAAATACCAACTTAATTTTTTAAAATTATGTTGGGGGGGAGGTCAAGTTCTGTCAGTCCTTTTACCATTTGGATTCTCAGGTCATCAGGCTTAATGGCAAGGGCCTCTGGAAATTGCAACTTTTTATTAAGACCAAATCACAATATATATTAAAATACAAATAAACAAGCTATATTTGATGTGGGAATATAGCTCAATGGTAGAGTGCATGCCCAGTATACCTGAGGCCCTGGGTTCAATTTTAGTAACAAACATGCACCCACACACACACACACACACACAAAATCAAATCCAATCATAAAGTAGATAGAAAAAACGAAAAGAAAACGGACTATGAAGCAAGATCTACATGAGTTCAAATCCCAACCCTGCCTACTGGTATCAAAACTGGTCTTGATGTGCTACTATATGTATAAAATGGGGACAATAAGAAGTCCCTAACAGAGTTTTTGTGCAGATTAATGTAATAAAACAGGTAACCTGCCTTGAACAATGCCTGAACACTTGCAAGAAGAGACAGAAATAGGAAGCCAGGTTTGAGTCCCACATCTGTAATCACAGTGCTGAGACATTAGAGGCAAGAGAATCACTGCCTCCCAGGTCAACATGAGTTATGATACCTTGTCTTTAAAAAGTCAAAGCAAGCCAGGTGTGGAGGCACACATCTTTGATCCCAGCATTCTAGCACTCAGGAGGCAGGAGGATGTCTATGAGATCCAGGCTAGCCTGGTCTACACAGTGAGTTCCAGGCCAGCTGGGGATTACAGGAAGATCCTTAAAAAAAAAACAACAAAAAGAGATACAAATAAGGAAAGAAAACTACAGCTCAGTGGTAGAGTGCCTAGTATAACGTGCAAGGCCCTGCACTCAATTCTGAGTCGGAGAGGCCGGCATGATATTAAGTACGAAGATACTGGGAATAAGGAAGGAACTGAGGCCTAAAGCCCAGGGTTAGCAAGACACTCCATCTAATTCCTTGACCTTAGTACTTCTAAGAAAAATAAATTGAAATGGTTGGAAATTAGCACAGAATTCATCTATCCCTAAGAACCTTAGCTTATTCACAAATATCTATTTCAATTTTTTAACAAAATAAGGGAAATAGACATCTTAGAGAACGAACAATATAATATTCCAGATACTAATAAGACTTTTTTGTTAATATGATCAATTTTGTTTTGTGAGATGCACATTTGGGAATTGATCCTCAGTTTTTTTTCGCTTTCTGCACAGCGTGGTAGCGCACGCCTTTAGTCCCCACACTTGGAAGGCAGAGACAGGAGGATCTCTGTGAGTTTGAGGCCAGCCTGGTTTACACAGTGAGTTCCAGGACAGCTGGGGCTACAGGGAGATACTGTCTCAAAAAGACCAAAAAAAATTTTTTGGCCTTAAACGATTTTCTTTGGAGCAGAGTAAACATAGATTATGAAAAAAAAAAAAAGGAAAGAACACCTTAGAGTGGGAGGGGCTCCAAGGAAGGAATGCCCAAATTTTTTTCCAAATTTTTATAACAGGGTCTGACTACACTGCCCTGCCTTGTCTTGAACTCTTGATTGTGCTGTGTGATCCTGCTGTGCCAGCTCCTAGTTGTTGGTATTACAGGTCCCTCATCCAGCTTCCGAGAGTACTTAGTGATCCTATGAAGTCTGCATAAAAAATTGCATTTGTGGGCGTATTTTTTTTCCTGGAGAGGTTCCATAGCTTTCACTGGTTTCAAAAAGGCATGTACGATTTCCAAAAAGATTAAAAACTACTGATTTCAAAACATAACTCCACCCAACATTTGGTTTCAATGGAGAGGCTTTTAGCAGGCAATATACTCATACATATAAAATAATAAAAAAACTAAAACTAAATAAATGAAAATACAGAGGTTGGGGGTTTGGCTTAGTGGTAGAATACTTACCCAGCATACAGGCTCTAGGCTCAATCCCAAGCACCCAATAAAGAAAAAATAAAAAATAAAAAAGCAGGAAAAAACTTCCAGTGCCACATGTCATATCCTGAACACATTTGTTAATATTTATCTGCTTCAACTACAGAAGGAACACTACACATTCCACAACTTAATACAAAGAAAGATAGTCCCTTCATTCTTTACAGACTGAAATGAGGTCAGTGAAAACCCCAGGATATCTATTTGAAACAGGGCCCTCACTCAAGAATTGAGAGTACTTCCCAGTCATAAAAGTGTCAGTCATAAAAATGTTGATAAGATATACTGTTTTCCACAAGAATGTTACTAAACCAGGCTCAAATGAAGTATGGCCCCCAAATCTGTACAATCCTGAGACATAAGTAAATGCAAAATGTAACTGCTGTTATAAGGGAGAAACTTCACTGGTGTAGACTTCTTCATTCAAAGAATGTGTTTTGGAGTGAGACATACTTGGGGTCTGATACCAATTACACCATTTCAAAGATAAGACCTTAGGTAACTTAATCTCAATCTTAAACCTCAATTTGCTAATCCACATAAAATCCAGCCAATAATATCTATAGCTAATGGAATTGTTACGAACACTAAATGAGCTACGGCTCTAGAACACTGTAACCACTTAATAAAGCTATTTGTGTCATGATATCCATTTCAGCAAGCAGGCTCGGTAGAATTTTTTTTCCATGATGATAGAACCTCGTCTTCCACCAATATTCCTTGCCTTCATCTGTCTTTGTAACATAATCTGTTGGGAATTCATCTGAAAATGACTGATCACAGGATAGGCACCAGAGAACCAACCATACAAGTCCCACAAACCACACAAAAGGATCTATAGCTGGGTAAGACATACCAATCCATGCTTCTTTCACAAAGAAAGTCAGGAGTTTAAATGACCTATTAATATAATCCAACAGATACATGTTTAAGCAAATAAAAACAAGATGGTAAGTACAGGAGCTAGAGCACCCACATGCACGCACGTGCACACACACACACACACACACACACACTCAACATTTTGGTATTTGAAATTTTTCATTAAAAATTTTTTATAATAAAATACATAAATAAGAGCAGAATTTTGTTTCCTGGGGCATCTAAGTGATACTTAAACTACCTGATGTTTTCAGTACTGTAAAGATGCACTTAAAATAATTTTAATTAAATTCATATTTTTATGTTAAAACCAACATGTGGCTTCAATGGAGAGGATTTTAGCTAGTTAATGGAAGTGGCTCCAAACAAGACTTCCATTCAACTGAAGTTAGCCAGCTAGGGAAGTTACAAAGCTAATATAAAAC